GGGGGCTGCCCTTGTTTCTAGGACTCTGTGGAGGCCGAGGCAGTCAGAAGTGACACAGAGTCCAGGATGACAGGAGCTAAGAGGCTGCCCTGAGGCCTGAGAGGATGTAGCCAGGCAGGAGGGAGAAGCCAAGGTCAGGGGAGTGAGTAGAGGGTGACACAGGCAGGAGGGCAGGTGAGGAACAGAATCGGCAGTTCAGGGCTTACAGACTGGGACAAACTGGCCTGCTCAAGGTTCCCCCCAGCATCATCGGAGTCCAAGATGGAGCCTGCAGAGTGGGTTGGCACCCCCACCCGAGGAAGGAAAGACGTAATAGACGGGTATGGCCCGTTCTAAAGTGGATAGTGCCGTCATTCACTCATAGATCTCTCCTATCAGGTCCCTGCAGGATGAGGCTGGTCACCAGTTAGAGGTAGTCAGAGGCAAACAGCCAAGTGGGAGTGGGGTCAGGTCAGGTAGAGGCCTGACGAGAGGCCCTGGGGGAACACCCCTGAAAGCTATGAGAACCCCAGCTCTTCCTTCTGGTGGGTCCATGTTAGTCCCCATCCATTAGCCCCCCCAAAGCTAGGCTTTGGCTTTTTCTGATGGACCACTGAACAAGCTCTCAGCCCCTAAAGATTTTCCTAATCAGGATCAGTAGCCAGCCTTTAACACACCAGCCCCATGTGGCCTTGAGGCTTCTAGCCAAGCAGCTCCATTGGCCTCTCATAGCCTGGGACAACAGGAAACCGGTGGCTGAGGTCCCGCAGCACCGAGCTTCACAATCCTAGGGCCCTTGCCAGGCCCACCTGGCCCACTGCCTACATTCCGGGCTCCCACTTTGGAGACCAAGAAGCTCATTAGAGTCTCAGGCTGGTCACGGGGAAGGGCTGAGGATAAGAGACCAGAGTGGCCCTGGGGAGGCGTAGGAGGACTGGAAAACCCAGCTGATGGGCAGCACCTTTTCAGCTTCCTGAGGAGCTCCAGCTTAGGTCCCATCACCCCAATTCACTTTTGTCCAAGGTCTTCCCTAAGTAAACTTGCTAACTGCTTCCCCAGAGACCTTCCTCACCGGGACCTTAGCATATGCTGTTCCTCTGCCTGGTATGCCTGGGATTCAGAGAAGTGGACGATGCCCAGAGACCCAGGTCAGTGAGAAAAGAAAGCTGCCGTGAGAGGTAGGGAAGCCTTCACATCTGGGCTTTGAAGACTAAATAGCAGTTTTCTAAGAGGGAGAGCTGGAATCAGTTTCCATGGCCAAGCACATAGAGAAGCAAGCGTGGAGGGTGGCTCTGAGAAAGAAAGGACGAGGCGCACTCACCTGCTGGAGAATAACCATGGTCCTACGTCAGAACTCCTGCCCGAGGAAGCGACCAGACACAGTTCTGTGGGAAGAGACCACACCAAGCCCTGAGCCCAGGCAGCTCTGCATCTGCGAGGCCACCTAGGCTTTCCCCTCCCCGACTCCTCACCCTCCTCACCAACTCCTCACCCTGATGTCTGTCCCTCCGATCACAGCTCAACCTATGTGACTGGTGACAAAGCCTCCGTTACTGTCACTACCTCCGCTGCCCAGAGCTGCTAAGCCTTCCTCATCCAGACTCCCAAAGGGCTCCAAGAAAGTAGCATATTTAGCCCCACACCAGACACGAGGGCAAAGCTGGGAGAAGGACCGTCACTTGCCCGAGGTCATACAGCAGGGCAGGGAAGATTTAGGATTAAGACTTGGGCTCTGGTCCCAGTTCAGGACTGTTCTGGGAGCAATAGGTCACATGGCATATCGGTCTAACACCTGCGTGTTCGTGGCCCTCCTCTCCTACCTCATCCAGCATAGCGTAGGCCCAGAAATAGGCTCCAGAGAGAGTGCTCCACTGAGTGTGGGCACCAGAAGCGGCCCCAGTCCCTAGGCCCTGGGGTGAGGTCCCTCCGTCCCTGCCTGGCCTGGCCCCCCAGTGCGAGCATTAAGTTTTCACAAGGGCCCATTCAGAGGACTGGGACATCTGATCCTCTGCCCACAACACGGCTGACATCTGAGCCCTGACCCCCAGGCCCTGGGTCTCCATAGGTACATGGTCCTGCCAGAGACCTATACCAGCCCAGGGACTTGGCAGGGGAATAATTGCAAGAGCAGCAGGCAGTGGTCAGGAGGGCTGGCACCTGAAGAGGCTGCCTGGCCCCTGCTTCATTCATGCAAGTGCAAGGCTGCCAGGACAGACCCGGACCTTGGAGGGTGATGCAGGGCAGAGCTGAAGACGCATGGAAGACCTCGGGGCTCTTCTATCCAGCACACAAGGCTCTACCTCTCCAGCCTCAGGACATCCTATTTCTAAACTAAGAGCGAGACTGTGTGTAAGATTGTTGCTTTTCAGATTGAGAACACAGAACCATCTTTTCTTCTAGGCCTGTGTCTGGTTTCACCTTGTCCCCTCAGCGACCCTGGCTGGTGGCCTTCATATTCCCAAGTCACAGATAGGAAATGTAAGGCACACAGAGAGGAAACAACTTGTGCAAGGAGAGAAAGATTGCCAGAGAGACAACCAAAAAGACAGAGAGAGAGAGAGAGAGAGAGAGAGAGAGAGAGAAGCACCTTGTTCCCCTCAGCCCCACCCCCATCTTCTTCCCTGGATCTGGATGCCCCTGACCCAGGCCCTGTGATCTCCAGCTGTCCTCTCATGCAGGGCACAAGCCTCTATGTGCTTGGCTCAGGACATCTTTCTTTTGTAGCTATGGTGGCAAGGCCATTATAGGAGTCAAGTCCCTGGAACTGTGGTGCTGTGTGAAGCCCTGGCTAACCAGCAGGGTGTGGGGTATGAGCTCCAAAGGAGGCCCCAGCCTGTGACTCCTCCCCTGTCCAAAAGTCCCATCCAGGGCAGCCCATCCTTACCTGGGTCTTATCTGCACCCTCTGAGTAGCAACCTCCCAGCTTGGGGTCAGGGGCCACAGGCCAGGAGGACTCTGGAAGCTGAGGCTAGAGCCTGCAAACACTCTGCCCCAGCCTGAGTCTTGCTCTGATGTTGCTTCTGGGGTCCCCCTGGGCTTTTCTGTTTCCTGTTGTCTCTCTGGGTCACTCTCTTTCTTTCTGCTCAGGGCAGCTGTCCAGCCTGCACTGCCACCCTCCCCTCTCTCTCCAAAGCCTTCTCCCAGGAGGCGGAGCCCTAGAGGGCCTCCAAGGTCTGGATGTGGTGACATCAGCATGAGGGGCGGGCTGTGCTGGGGCTGGGACTAATGTCCAGAGGCTTCTCAAGGCGGTGTGTGAAGCACTGGCTAACCAGCAGGAACGGAAGGCACAGAGGCCCCGGAGGCAGTGCTGGCCGGTGTGGAACTCGGGTCTGGGGTCACCGTCTGGGCCTCTGGTTGTATGTATCACTGCCTGCCATCTCTGCGTGGTTGGACTCCTGTCCCACCTTGGTCATGACTTTGCTGGGTCTCAGCTCACAGGGCCTCCCCCGCCCCCCATGCGGCTCCTCTCCTCCATGACAGGACTAGAGACCCTATAGACAGGCAGGCTTGGCAACACCTGCGCCCTTGTGGGGTAGAACATCCAAGGCAGGACTCCGCAAGACATGTTCCCATGTGGCTCTAAACCTGCCCCCACAGCCTGTTTCGGGAGTCTTGTCTGGGCTGTTTTCTGATTATCCAGACATTTTGCCAAGCCACCTGACCAGGAGCAACCTCACAGAGACTCGTCCCATGTGAAACAAAATGTGTGATTTTAAAAGGGGGTGGGGGGAGTGAATTTGACACAAAATACTCATAATAGGTGAAGAAAGTGGGCTGGAGGACTCCCTCCTGAGACCTGACCCTCTCTCCTTCCCACTGGGGGTGAGGACGCTAACGGTCCAACAGCACCACCTGCTGGGCAACATCAACGGCTAGGAGACTAAGGCTACAAGAGAGGGAAAAGGCCTCTGCCGATCAGCTTCCTCAGACCAGGGTGCCAGGGAGCAAGGGAGCCCAGAGACCAAGGACAAATTGCACCCAATGCAGCCCTCCCCCATGGGGCTGTTCCTACGGACAGACACAGAGTGGGGGAGACACAGGTTGGAGCACCAGAGCCCGGCTGGCAAGGTGAACTGGGGCAGGTGTGCTTTGTTGGGGCAGAGGTGCACGGTGGGAAGACAGTGGGCGAGAAAGTGGCTTGGACCCATAACTGAAACACTTTCTCAACATCCAAACTCGGCCAAGCGGGTCACCCAACCCAAGAAATCTAGAAATCCTTTTCAGTTTTGTTTCCCTAAAGCAGAGCGTCTGAGAGCAAGCAGGCTGTCAGAGATGCTCAGTTGTCTTGGAGGCAGAAAACCAAGTCCCCGCATAGTGGTCACCGTCACAGCAACCCTGCCTCTTCCCCACCTCACGCTCTACCCCACCCCTCCAGGTTCTGCCTGCTTTCTGATCCATGTGTAAGGGGCACCGATTTCCAGCACCTCAGCCTTTTCAGAGCACCACATCAGAACCATTGCAGCACTGGTTCATACCGTCCTCACCCACCTCTCACCCCTTCAAATCCAACCTATCATCGTGGTCTGTCCATTTCGAGTTCACCAGTCCCAGCCCAGCTTCTGCCACCGCCCCGCCCATGAATTCCGAGCTCTAGCTACTCACACAGCCTCTCTCCTCTGCCCACCTGTGTCTGTGCATGCTACTGTCTCCACTGGAACAGGACCCAGGCCTTGAACCGACAGACCGAGAATTAGCCCCTGGAAACTCCCTATCAAGAACCCTGTAGCAACATGATCAGAGGGTTTGGTTCGTCCATCTTCTCCAGTTGCTGGAAGGCTGATCCAGGACAGGGGCTATGTTTCCACATCCTCAGGGCCTGGGATGGACAGGGCTCAGCGAAGGCAGCCCTACACCGATCTGCAGGGAGAACCCGAAGGATTCCAGAGCCCGGCTCTGACTCACCAGCAACCAGCAAGTCCTTCCTCGCTCCTCCCTCTGACCAGGGGTCAGCTACTCATTATCCCTCCCTCCTTAACCTCCCAGGGGATAGGGGGCAGATAAAATAGTCAGACACAGGAAGGTCTCTCTAGAGTGGCAGTAATATTTATTCTGAGAAGATAACAGGGCTCCTCCCTCTTGACTGCAGAGAGCATGGTGGCCTGGAAGAATGAAGGCCAGGTCCTGGTGGTCCATGTAGTGTGGACTGCAGGGCTGATCACCCGCAAGGCTTCCTGGGTACAAGGGGGAGCAAAGCCACTGCTCTCCCTGCTCCACCCTGTCCTCATCCATCCAGTCCTCAAGGCTTCCTGGGGACCAGAGGTCTCTGCGCAGCCAGGAGCCAGCCTGGCCTAGCTTGAGAGGGAGGAAGCAGGAACGGGGCTGCTGGCCTAGTTTTGCTGTAGGTGGGAGGCAGTGGCTAGTCGCCAGTGAAGTTTCTACACATTCACTACTTGGTCCTGGTTTGCCTGAGCCTCAGAGGGATATGGCTGAGCTAAGACCTGCATGTCAGGCCCTGAGACCCAAGATGGTGTAGCAGGTGCTTGCTCCTCCATTCCTGACTGCAGTCTTTGTTTGCAATAGCCACTGAGAAGTGATTCTGTGAACACGTAGTGTAGACGATACAGAGACACACAGAGGAAGTGGTGTGGCCTTGCTCTTACTTCTTGCGAGAGTCCTCACGTATCGGAGTCACCAGCCCCACGCTTCAGAGGGAGGAATTGAGGCACAGGAGGGTTAAGTGACTTGCTCCTGGTGGCATGCACAGTCCCAGGCCCAGGTCCTTGAAGGGAAGCCCCAACTGTGCAGGAGGAGTCCTCTTATCTTAATTTCAGTGCCTAGCCCTTCCCATGGCTCAGGTCCCAGGCTAGGAGCAGAGGCACCATGGAGCAAGATGGCAGTCAGAATCCAGCACCTCCAGCCATGAAGAGGCCCACACAGTAGGGACCGGAAACAGAGTAACATTCCTAAAGGGAACTGTTGACCCAAATGTACTTTTTTTTAATCTACTGAGATTGGTCTCGGAGCTGAAGAAGGGACAGGGGGAACCCTGTGAGCCACAGCACCAGTACTAAACAAGAGTTCCTCAGGAATGCAGTCTGCAGCCAGCCTGAGGATGCTCAGGAGTGAACATGCTCATCTCCATCCTCCTCCGAGGTCCTCTGAGAAGGACCCACTTTGCCCATGTCCTTTCAATGCTCAGTATCAACAAAAAGCAGAGGACTGACAAAACGAGTTTAAAAAGAGCAAAGGTAGGGGCTGGCCTCCCTCTACATGGGAGATTTTTCAAAGGCTAAGACTACCAAATGTTGAAGACTGAAAGCAGCATTTTGGTCTGGAGAGCAAGCGCACGGTGCCCTCACTGGCTGTCTGGAGGGTGCTGGTGGAGAGGCCTCTGTGAAGGGGAGGGAAGTCCCTCCCTGTGACACCCAGCAGGTGATCTAACCCGGAAGGCCCGGCACCACGCACCTCAGAGTCCTTTCTTCCGAGAGAACCCAGGGTCTTTCCGCACAAGCACAGCGTGTCCCCCTCGGGTGTCCCACGGCACTCCATCGACCTCCCTGGCCCGGGCCACTCCTTCCAACCTCACATGGAGATTGGGAAATGATACTTTCTCACCAGTATGGGCACAGTTCTTCGGGGGTGTGTGAGTAAAATCAGGGCCTGCTCCTCTGGAAGGTGTCTGCCTCTGAGAAGCCCTGAGGCTGAGGAAGCCTGGGTCAGCTCTTTGGCCTAATTAAACACATCTATACTGAATAACCATGTGGATGGGCGTCGAGCATTACACAAGGAGCAACTGTCTCCTGCCCATGCCCACTAAGGGTTCTTTCAGGATGGCTCTAACACAGGGTGGAGTAGGACTGGGGTGTAGCTCAGGTGGTGCAGTGCTTGTCTAGCATACGCAAGCCCTGGGTTTCATTACCCAGAGCCACATAAACTGGTGAAGTGGTCCATGCCTATAATCTCAACGCTGGGGAGGGCCAGGCGGGAGATCAGAAGTTTAAGGTCACTGTAAGCTACACAGCAAAGACCTGGGGATGGGAGCTCGAAGACAAGGAGAGGAAGGGGGCTTGGGACATGGCAGTTTGTGTGTAAACAAGTGACATCTTCTTGGCACTCCTCGGCAGACAGTGGGACCCGGGGCAATGTTTTCAACGCATAGTCCCTTAGCAGCAGTGCCCACTGGGTAGAGAGAGCTACTTTAAACCTTAGGCAAGAAAACTCCCCAAGAAGGGAATGCTTTGGGGCCCTCCAAAACACTGAGCCTCAGAGAGGGGCAGGGCTCTCCTCAGGTCACACAGTGGGTCAGTGGAAAGTGGGGAAAGGGCCCCAGTGTCTGGTTCCCAGGCTGGTCCCTGGCCAGGTGGGGACATGCAAGTGGCGGTGAGAGTAGCTGGGGCCAGGTGGGTGTCAGACAGCTGTGAGAGAGGCACTGCTCAGGACACGCACAGCCACGGTGCCCGGCAAGTCACTGGGCTGCCGGCTACTGCGGTCCCGAAGGTGGAGGGTGTGGAGGGCCTGCAGGTCGTCCGGGTCCGTCTTCAGGTGCACCTGGCCCAGGAATTCATCCTTCAGGACTCGGTGGTTCCAAATCTGAGCGGAGACAAGAGTGTGGTGGAGGGGCACATCCAAGATGGGAGTCAGGGTGGCAGTACCCAGAAGCCTCTTTGCTCAGTGCAAGCTCAGCCAGGGAAAAGCCCACGTCCTGGACTGATGGGTTCCCTCTTCCAAAGCCTCGGGATCACCATCAAACACACCACCACTTGGAAAGCTCAATCTGTCGCTCCTAGCTCTTGCGAACTCGAACTTGGGGATGAGGGGTTAACCTTGGACTTAGCCCTTGCTGGCTTAGAACTCGCTATGCAGATCAGGCTAGCCTTGAATTCCTAGTTCTGCCTGCCTCAGTCTCCCAAGTGCTGAGGTTAAAGGCATGTGCCATCACACTCAGCTCCTCGTTTTTAATATTTGGGTGGAACCACCTGCCCCTAATGGTCCTTCCAGCCTCAATACCTACAAGTCTGTGATTTGACCCAGCGGGACCCAGTGTTAAGAAACCTTGGAAAATCTAGCAGCTCCCCTGGGGGACCATGCATTTGTTTACAGATGGTTTCTCGCCCAGAGAGCGGCTGCTCTGGGCCTGGGGGACTGAGGGTTTCCTGATAATGAGCTCAGTCGCCCTGCTCCATGTTGGCCTGAGAGAAAGGAGCTGTGCCCAAGGACATTGGCATTCAGATTGGCTCCTCGGGGTCTTAGGAAACAGCCACATGCCATTCATGATCTCAGTGGCACTTTCTGAAACAGACCTATGGTGGGACCTCTGAGGAATGGTGAGCAAGGCTTTGGGCCAGGTCAGCAAAGAGGACCACTGACCTTGCTAAATCTCAGACTCAGACTGACTCATCATCAACCACGTACAAGAGGCGGGGCAAGGCAACTGAAGCTAGCACCGGGCCTGTAGGAGGCTCTTCTGCCCTGGGCCCCAGCCCTCAATGTGGGAGGCCATGGGAGGGGGCGTATATTTCTGTGAGTGGTCTCACCTGCACGGTGATGGGCTGGGCCAGCTTCTTGCGATAGAAGATGCCTTTCACATTGTACTCTGGTGTCGAAGTCCCTTTTTGCACAGCTGAGCGAACTTTTTTGCCCTCACACTTGATGATCACATATGAGTTTGCCCCTAGAGAGAGGATGGGGACCTGGGATGAGGATGGGCTGAGGGCCAAGGGGGACAGGTGTCTGGGACATGCCATGCCAACCTGGTCTTTGTCCAAAGGGGAAGGGGAGACAGGAGTCTGCTCTACCTTCCAGATAGGAGTCCCCCACCTTCTAAGACCAGGCCAAGGAAAGAACACAGTATGGCTTTTGGCCTTCTGTCTTGGCCCATTGTTCCCTGTATACAGGTTTCTCACCTCAACATCTCCTTGGCCTACAGAAGCAGGAGGTAAGGCTCTCTAGAATTCCCACCACCCCCTGGATGCCTGGGTCTGCAGAGTGAATTCTGTAGGTGCTGGGGTCTGTGCTGAAGGAGACAGGGCCTGAGGTAATCTCCAAGTGAGCTCACCTGTTGGGGAGTCCTTGAGGCCAGCGGCCCCCAAGACATGGACCTGGGTCACCTGCTGGGGGTAGCCACACAAGGAGCTCCAACAGGTACGAGGCGGCTCATCCAGACGCAGCTCCCTGGTACAGGGCAGATGGGTGGCAGGAAGACAGGGTTCAAAATGAGGCGCAAGCCAAACTTCAGACCCAACCACCCCCTGCCACAGGCTTTCGGCCTCTCTGTCCCTACCCCAGGGTCTCGTCCTCCTCGAGGGACCATAGTGGACTTAACTCTCCCTGCACAGCACATCCTTCGCTGGGCATTACAGATATTCTCTCTAACCCTCAAAATGGCTCTAGCAGCCCACTGGCCCCCAAAGCCAGTCTCCGTGGGTGGTGGCAAGACCCATGTTAATAATCCTGTTGGATGGGTGGCTCAGTCCATACTACAGGTGTCTGACCCTCTTTCTAGAGTTGATCCCTATTTTTATCTATAAAATGGAGTGGTTGGGTTTCCCATTTGGGGTATGAGAAGATAAATAAAATAAGTGGAAGCCTCTTTGTAAACTGTTAAATGCACATGTGAGTCGCTGCTCTTAGTCGGGGCCAACAGAAGCTGTGCAGGCAAGCAGGGGAGGGGAGAGGCAATGGATGCCATCCCTGGGGATGCCGGTGCCTGGGCGCCATGCTTTGAGCAGACGCAGGCAGGCGAGGGCTGCACATCCCACCAGGCCCACGCGGACTATACTGTCACCAGCTCAGGCCCCACACACCGGCAGTTGGAGGGTACATCTGTGAAGACTCGGAGCAGGAACTCGCCGGTGTGGCCTGGCTCGAAGGTGGTGGGGATGATGACGTAGCGGCCCTCCGGCTGCTCCGTCCGCAGGAAGACGCTGCGCGAGTTGATGTAGATGGAGCTGGCGGCCTTCTGCTGTAGGCTGTGCATGCGATACTGGCGGTTCTCCTCCACCTGTGTGGAGACAGGAGGAGATGGGCCACTCAACCCTGCGCCAGAGTCTGGCCCATCTCCCGCTGGCCCCCATGAAAGGAGCAGGATACAAGGGCAGGAAATATCCAGAACTAGCAAATCTATAAGGACAAAATTAGGCTGGTGTTTGGCTAGGCCTGAGGAGAAGGGCGCAGAAAGAACAGGTTCTTGTGCTCACAGATAAGCACTAGGTAAACTAGGAATGTTAAACACACAGGGGTGGCCTTTTCCACGGAGGAGCGACTTAGCTGTTTGAACTCAACAGATCCTCCCCCAGGCCCTCAAGATGTCACACGTCATCAGTCTTAAGTTCTACTGTGCACACAGGATTTAGTTAACTCTCACCAGGATAATTTTTTTCCAAATTGTGCTTAAATATGCCTAAAATATCCCACCCAGCGTCAGACTCTGGAAGTTTGGACCAGCACCAGCTACTGAGTCATCCTGAACAGGGGTTCCTTCTTGCCTGACATGGACCAACAGACACTGTGCTGGCCGTGGTGTCTGCAGAGACCCCCACGTAAGGGTCTATTGTACTGGGTGGCAATGACCTCCTAGAGTGGTCCTTCTCCTCACAGAGACCGTAACCTAGTGATGCCACCAGGTTATATACTTCAGACTGCTCAGTTTGGTGGTCTATGGCTTCCACCTCAAGGAAAATAGTTTAAAAGTGAGGGGCGGGTGAGAAATCCCCAATGACTCTACAAGGTCTTTCTTTTAAACTTTATTTATTATGTGTATGTGTGTATATGATGGGAGGCACAAACGTATTGGCTAGAGGGCAACACTGTGAGGTTAATTCTCTCCTTCCACCTTCCCTTGTATTCCACGGATCGAACTCATATCATCAGGCCTCAATTGCAAGTGCCTTTACCTGATGAGCCATCTTGCTGGCCCCTCTCTTGTCTTGTTTTGTTTTTGAGACAAGGTCTCTTACAGACCAGGCTTGAACTCACTTCGTAATTGAGAATGTCCTGGGCTCCTGGTTGCCCTGTCTCAGCCTCCTGAGTGCTGGGATTACAGGCATGTGCTACCACACCCAGCCTGACCCTGGAGCTTCGTCACAAAGGCATCAAATGAGGTAGTCCCCCGCCCCCATGCCCCCCCCCCTGCTTATCCACAGTTCCAGTTCCCATGATTTCAGCTGCCTCCAGTCAACCATGCTCGGGAAATAGCAAAAGGAAAATTCCAGCAGTAGTTTATGTATTTTCAGTCTCAGATGTGTTGAAATCCTGCACCATCTCTCCTCCTCAACAGGACACGAATCTTGGCCAGTGAATCTGTACCACCCACCCACTACCTGCTTGGTAGCTGTCTTCCTTGTGGCTACGGAGTGGTGACACCTGTAGTTTGGGAGTCCCTGAAGTAATTTCATAGTTTGGGAGGCCTAATTATTATGACGTGCCTAACTCCCCCACCAGCTGCCAGGCCATCTTAGACAATTCCTGAAAAAGCATGGCATGACAGGGCACAGAGCGTCGCAGAATGCCATGCCAACTCTCTCCCCACACTGAGCATCACGTGTGGAGGACATCAACGCCAAGCCAAGGGGAGTGACCAGAGCTGAGTCTGCCTGTCTCTGCACAAGGTTACCTACTTCTGTGCATGAAAAGCCTCCGACACAAGAGGCTACAGGAGAAGAGAGGCCGAGCCCTGGGGGAGGAGCAGTGAGACTGTCAAGGACACGGAACCTCCCACAGCCTCGGCCACACAAGCAGCTCGGGCCGGCGGGTCTCACCTTGTAGATGTCAAAGCCGATGGCCAGATTCTCGCCTTTGCCCTCTCTGCGAGTTGAGCGCTTCGGCCGCTGCTGGATGCAGATCAATACTTCATCTTCTGGCTTCTTGACTTCAAAGATGTACTGCGGGTGTGGCCGTGAGAAGAGAGCCACAGTGAGACCCAGGTCAGCCTCAGCTCTGGGGAGCCTAGACTCCAGAGCGAAGCCCCAGCCATGTTGCTGGCACGAGCTTGGGCCATCCCATCTGCTCTCCCTCCTCTGGGAGATTAGCCCATTAACTCATACAGTGGCCACCATGCCCGAAGATTGGGAGAGCTCAACAAGATGATACATGCTCACCTCAGAACCTAACATACAGCTGGCGTTCAATAAGGACACATTGCATCTAGGGTAAGGACTAGGCAAACGGGCCACAGCTGAGGAAGCTGCTGGGTAGAGTTGCCCATGGGAACCACGGCCTGCCCACATTTCCTGGGAATAGCTGAACTGTGCTACTGTGAAAACAAGAGGTCTGAACACTACTTGACCTCTCATTATGCCTGGGACTCTGGACAAGACAGCTCTAAATCCCTTGCAGCCAATTTCCTCACTGTGACTATATGCAGTGCGGACGGTAAGACAGGGACTTCATGACCCCGGACAGTGTCCACCAGGTCCTTACTGCGGAGACAGTCATAATGAAGCTCAAAGACAGCCAGGGACATACCTGAGTCACTCAGGAGCTCCTGGCAGGGCAGTGGCGAGGTGCCACGGCTGATGCAGGGTGGGACAGGCTGGGGTCCTTGCGAATGCCCACCTGTGGGTTCTGGAAGAAAGTGTCCTTGTGGTTGATGCAGCCTCCACTGCGGTTCTGCTGCGGGTCCTCATGCCTCGTCCAGGCGCCTCGAAGCCGGGCCTCCTCCCACGTCTTGTGGATGCTCAGGTAGGACGTGTTAATCAGGCGGCACTTGATGATGTCGGTGAAGTACTGGCACATATCCTCGAAGGTCATCCTGTGTGCAGGAAGGGAATGAGCTGGGTGTACCCCGCCGTGTCCTGAACCACCGCGCCACACAATACCGCCAAGACCCAAAGCCTCTCTGGTGCCTCAATCTCCTCCTTTGTAAGATGGGATGAACCTACCAACACTGCCTGTCTCACGGGGCTGGCAGGGCACCGGGTGAAATGAGAGCGTGCAGCACTGTTTCTAACACAGAGCAGCGGGGGCGTTGGCTGTCACAGCTGCTCACAGTGTTAACAGCCAGTGGGCACCGCTTATTGCAGTTTTAAACATTTACTGTTGGGGGGAGGGTGCAGGAGCACAGGGCATGCGCATGGAGGTCAGAGGTCAGCCTATGGGAGTTGGTGGGTCCCAGGAACTGAAGCGAGGTTGTCAGGACCGACGGAAAGTGCCTTCTCATCCCTGCGGTGGGCGCCATGAACACTCTGTTCCTGTCCTTTACCTTCCATGGCTGCTGTGAGGCCTGAACCAACCGGTGGCCAGACAACCCGCACCTCTCCTCCACGGTAAGCATGAGGCGGTGACCAGGCTCTTGCTAGGCACACCTCCAGGAGCATGGGCAGGCCGGTGGTGGTGGTGGGGCATGGTATGAATATGCATGAGGAGAGCTGTAAAATGCAGCCTTTTCCATGGAGGAGTGACGTTGCTGTTTGAACTCAACTGACTCCTAAACCAGACTGCACAAAGTAGGCTGTGTCCACAGCAGTGCATACTAAAGGGCTTGGAGAGCACACCCCTCCCCCAGCAGCAGAAGGGGGCTTTATTAGGGTACCGGTATCACTATTATCAGCTCCTGGTTGGCCTGGGGGTCTGCACGGCATATACTCACATCAGGTACCTTGTACCTTCCTCTCCTGCAAGTGGCTTTCCTATCAAGAATGCACTGCACCGGGACAGAGTCCGGACAGAATGCTGGTAGATTAGAGGGGAGGGATGTAAGGGAAGGAATAGATTCAAGGGCTGCAGGTGGGGGAAGTGCCAAGGAAAAATTGGCTACAGAATGAATAGGTATGAGGGCTGGATGAGGGCATGGACACAGGAAATGGCTGGATTTCCAGAATGAAGCGGTACAGAGACAGATGAGGGGATGTATACAGAAGAATGAGTGACTGCAGGAGGATGATGAGTAGGTGCAGGGGTGCAGGACAGAAGGAGAAAGTGGATGTGAAGAATGGGTACAGGGTAATGGAGTCAGAAGGACAGATTTAGGAAATGGCTTCAGAAATGGACACAAGGGATGGAGTTGGGAGACAGATACAGGGAATGACGGACCACTGGGTGGATATGGAGGAAGGGATGCAGGGAAAAGATGAAGAGAAAAGCATAGAGGGATGGATGTAGGGGGCGGTGAACAGTGGGGATGGATGCAGGGTGGACACTATGGAGACAGAGTCAGGGAATAGATGCTGAGGTTGGATAAGGGAGACGATGCCATGATCCATAGCGAACTAAAACCATGCTCCCTGCCAGGCCCCAGGAAGACTCCCCTCAGCCCAGACTCAGGACAAGAGGACGCTCACCAGAACTCGCCATCATCCTGTACGGTCACGCCCATCTTCTCCCTCTCACTCTTGCTCACTTTCTGCCACTCTTCTGAGCTGGGGTGTGAGTATCAGAAAAGGGGGATGTGAGTGCAAGAGGAGCAGCCTGCCAGGACCACCTCCCCAAGAGACAGCTCTGGGCCAAGCTACCCCCACCAGAGACTGTGCTCTTTCTTCATGCCAGGGCTGCGAAGTTGGGATGTAAAGCAGGGATGAGGGGCTGTGACCCCTCAGGGCCACTGGCCAAGTACAGAGCGTCTGAGTATTCAGATTGCTGCCGGCATACCTCCCTGCTCTCCTGTTTTACCCACTACCACACTGGCCTCTGTGTCCCCACAGGGCAAGGGCAGCTCACCCTTCTCCAGGCCATTGTGCTTGATGAACCCACCCCCAGACAGCCGGCACACACTGGGAAGCAAGCATCCTGTCTCTTCCTCAGGCCATCTCTCCCAGACCCCACAAGGCCCAGTCCAGGGTCACCTCTTGTGCTTATATCTGTACCTGTGCCCACCCTCAACCCCAGGGCCTTACGTGTCGCTCCACGGCCCGGTCCACTCCCGCTCGCCCCACGGGTTCCTCAGGCGGATCATGTCCAGCTTCTCTGACTTGAAAAAGGCCAGCAGGCCGTGGCCAAGGCGCACCTTGCGCACGTCAGTGACAGCATACGCATGGCCCTTCACCAGGCCACATGCCAGGCGGGCCTCCATGTCAGCTGCTGTCACAGCCTGCAGAAGGACAAACAGCCTAGACAGGAGGGTCATGCTGGACTCCAAACCAAGGCACTGGAACGAGGCTAAGAAGACACTTCGCCCCCTTCGGGTAGAGTTAGAAACTGCAGCCTCACGGAAAGATCTTGCTTTGCTAAGGGGTCAGAAGCCCAGAGGACCATATACAGCCACCAACCCAGAGCATATTGGTGCCAACTTGCCCCAGGGCAGCTGACTGCTATATAATTGGAAATGTTCAAGTCTCAATACACAGAGCTGCATGGCCTAGAATCCTCTATGTAGACTAGGCTGGCTCTGAGCTTGGGGCAATCCTTCTACCTCTGCCTCCCGAGTCTCAAGTACTGAGATTACAGATGTGCAGCGCCATGCCTGGAGGCAACACTCAGAAATTGTAAGAGCTGTTTGTGGAAACATGAGCAATAGGAAATTGGCCCTGTGGGAGCATTTATACCACGGAACTCAGCCAATGCCACAAATCGGGGCTCCGTGTCAGCTGACCGGGCACCACAGTCAGCTGGCTTATCCCGGGAAAGGGAAAGTGTGCTCTCCAGCTACTCCATCCCCCAGGAATCCGAGAGTCAGTGTGATGAGTGGGCTGGGCCCAGGCTCAGCCTCACTCCCTCCCATCTGGGGTCTACCTTGATGGATGCGCTGATGAGGCCACCTCTGCCGTGCACCTTCAGCACACGTTCAAAGAGCTGATTCCTCTTGGCCTCATCGCTGGCAAAGTCCCCCTCGGTCAGGTCAACGGGCTCGGAGACGCCACCTGTGAAATCCACCAGTGCGTCCGCAGTGTTGCCTCCATCCAGGGCCTGGTAACAGCCTGCCAGCCTGGGAGACAACGGGCAGGGAATGCCCAGCTCAGGTTCCCAGCCAGGTCCAAACCTTTCACCTCATACAAGAGCTGTCTGAAGCTCAGAAATCAAGCAAACTGCTACAGTCCGATAGCAAGCCACAGCACAGCCAACGACAGAGCCCAAGTCTTACCTCCCAGGCCCTCAGCCGGGTGGTGGTGGTGGTGGCTGAAACATATGCCTTTAATCCCAGCACTCAGGAGGCAGAGGCAGGCAGATCTGAGTTCAAGGACAGCCTGGTCTACAGAGTGAGTGCTAGGACAGCCAGGGTTACACAGAGAAACCTTGTCTTGAAACCCAAACCAAACCACCACCACCAACCAAAACAAAACAAAAAAAAAACAAACAAAAAAAGTCTCATGCCCACTCTGTCCTACTGAACATCACCACTGTAGGACTCAAATTCCCTAAGCTTTAAGAGCCCTATCTTCACAAATTAATTGTTCAAAGATCTATCAATTCTCCTTGAAAGCATTAAAAGTTCATTCATCTTTTGACACAGCAATTCTGGGTAAGTAATGTAGTTCATAATGATAAAATGCACAACTCTAAGGAATTGGCTTTAAAAATAAACGCTGTGTCGATGCTCTGGGTCATTCTAAAAAGCACTAGACAAATGTTTGTGACTTGCAATGCTTGCAAAAGCAGTATAGCTGGATCCCGTTTATGTTCCGAGGGATAAACAATGATTTCTTAACGCTGCTTCTGGCGAAAGAGATGAAGTGTGTGTGGGACTGGAAGAGCTTCATCTTCCCTGAGGGAACTTTAAAAATAGATCAGTTATCTACTGTAACACAGCGACTGTGAATGACAGTAGCAGAGACACACAGTACAGTACCAGCAGAGCACACTGAGAAGACACAGCCACACAGCAGAGCCATGCTTTGTAAGAATGCCTATGACCAATGATGCGTCAAAGCTCTTAAAAGAAGCTGGCATGGCAGCACAGGCCTGTAACCTCAGCACTTGGGACTGGGAGTTCAAGGCCAGCTTCTGCCACACAGTGAGTTTGTGGAAAGCCAAACGAGACCCTGTCTCACAACATCAAAAATGATACTGAAAGATCATTTGTTGGGGGAAAGGGGGTGCAGAGAATAAAAGAGGTAAGTGGAGGCACAGATGCTAACCACAGTGATGCCTAAGGTAGGAAGGGAGAGCCCTTCTCTGTTTCCTATACTTTCTCGATTTGCTCTAGAAGGCACATGCTTGTTTTATAACTTAAAAAGTAAGTAAGAACTGGAGAGGCATTTCAGTGGGTAGTTAAAGCAATTGTCAGGAAAGCCTGAGGGCTCTAGTTCAAATCCCAGAACCCTAGTAAATGCAAGTTGATGTGGGACCACCTGCTATTCCAGCCTTGGCAGGTGGAGCAGGATCCCGAGAGCAAGCTGGCTAGCAAGACCGGCCACGTCAGTGAGATCTGCGTTCGGCTGAGAGCCCGTGCTTCAGCGAGTAAAGTGAAAGCAAGCCAGGATGTGTCCAATATCAACCTTAGGACTCCACACACACACACACACACACACACACACACACACACGCACACACACCACACGCACACGTATACAAGCTTGCTCACCCAACAGAGAAAATGGATATAAGGCACACTGCACACACACACACAAGTGGAAAAAAGGAAATTAAAAAATCAAAAGTAAACAAGCAAAAAGTAAAAAAGCAAGCATAAAATGGCGCAGCCGCTATGGAGGCTTCCTTTAAAAAGTCACAGATTGAGCTGTCACATGAGCCAGCAGTTCCGCTGCCTAGCATAGTCTGGAAACAGAGACTTGGACACCTGCACACCCATGACCATGGCAGCACTAGTCACAGCAGCGCTGTCCATCCGCCAACAGATCAAGCTGGACCTGGAGCTGCAGTGGAATATCATTCAGCAACGCACAGAAGTGCAGGAATGAGCGGCAATGTGACCAGACCTTGAGAATAGCATGCTGGAAAGAAGCCAGGCTGAGAGGAACAAACAGGATTCTCTGCATATGAGCTGCCAATAGATAGATTCACGGCAAGAACAGGAGTTCCCCGGGCTACAGAAAGGGAAAAGGGAGTCACTGCTTAGTGGGGAAGGATTTCTGCTGGAGTGGGCTGTGTAAAGATTTTGGATGTAGGCAATGGTGACAGCATTGTGGGCAGTACAGTTACTGGACAATGAGTTGGTGGCTTAGTGAGAAGTACTGTGTATTTATGTGTGTATATGTGTGCGAATACGTAGAACCAATCAAACCTTATTTAAAAGCTAAATCAAGAGCTGGAAATGTGGCCGGTGGTGGAGCACTTGTCTAGCCGGCAGAAGGCTACTGCAGTCCCCCTGTGATAACGGAAACACACTGTCCACCAAGGAACCAGCTCTGCCGTCTTAGGGTTAAATTCACAGGTGTCTTTTCCTGGGTTAGTTTTCCCTTTTCTTTTCCTCTCTTCCACGCAGGCTCTCGAACTCAAACTCTTGTGATTACTCTCATACTCTCTGTCACCCCTGACCCCTCCACACACATCCTCCAAAGGCTTTGGGGAAGGAGCCCAGGCGAGGCTTCTTGCAAGCTGGCTGGAATCAGCTAGCATTCCTGCCCCCAAATGTTCCACTCCTCAGCACGCCTTTTCTGGTGCTGGTACTGTGCTAGGTCCTCCAAGAGGAGGACAGGCAGCTGACCACGGCCCACCATCCAGACCAGATCTCAGGCGCCACAGCCCAGGAGCGGCTCCTGGGGAGGTTGGCAGTGTGCCCTCGAGGGTACGATCCACTGCCATCAACATCCCAGCCCTGCCCCAACCACAGCAGGAAGCCTGCCTTCTCCCAGTTTTCCCCCTCATCCCCACCCAAAACAGACCTGGTTGCCTAGGCTCTGACCATGCTGTGTGCTAGGCTCCAGCCCCTCACAGGAGCCTTTCCTAGAGGCCCACGGAGCCCACCAGCAGCCCATTCTGGCCTGGCAATTCAGTGCGGTCATCCCACCCAGACACATCCTGGCCACCCCACCCAGCCACACCTACTTGGCGTAGGCCTTCTCCACCAGGGCGCACCAGAACTCGTTTCGGGAGTTGGAGTGGCAGTAAATAAGCTGGTTGTTGACTGTGGGCAGCCGGTCATCGATGACCACGTCCACCCACTCCCCGAAGCGCCAGAAGTGGAAGTGGAAGATGCCAGCATAGGCGTCAGGCTTCTCAGGGTCCCATTCCTGCTCCTTCCAGTCTGGGATGACCTAGGTGGAAGAATGGAGACAAAATGAGGGCACTGAGGGGCAGCTGGCTCCTGAGGAGAAGAGAGTACATGTCGCCAAAGAAACAGAACTGGAGTACTGGATTTCACCCATCACGGCATGAGCGCTGTGGGACTTGGGGAATGCTCTGGTCTTGGCACTTGGGTTCCATGACTGTCAGAGCCAGAGACTTGGGCCCCAGTCCAGCTCTCATTCCTCCTTCAGTGGCCACCTTGTTGTCCAGGAAGCCCTCCCTAACTCTAGACCAGCAAGGACCCCTACCGATCAGCCTCTGGGCCAAGTACTTTTCTAAAATCTGTGCTTTCACTGGGAAAATCTATTAAGTGCCCGTGTGGCTCGTCACTCAAGGTATGACACTACCTCAGAAGGGTCCGTTGTCTGTGGGCAAGGCTGTTTACTTGCTTTACAGACACCTGGCACAGGCGCATGTGTGGTACACATTTGTTGACTGAATGAGTAAGTTCACAGACACGCAATAGGACTCCAATGACTCGTATCTTTTGAAGCACCTTGCAAATGCCAGAGCTTGGGCCTGACACAAATTAGCTCCACGTAATTTTTACAGTAGCTCCTCAAAGAGATTGCTATTACCCGCAGGTGAGAAAATTAAGGCTCTCAAAAGGACAGTCATTCATTCAGAGCCACAGAGTTAGGAAAACAACAACAACAATAAAAACATGTACTTTGGAGGCAGGTAGATCTGGGTTTGAGGCTGGGATTCAAACCCAGGCCTGAGTGTTTACAGATGAGTTATATTTTGCAGTATGAACTACTGTGTGGGCCCAGGGCCGTGCTAGATATTGAGGATCCAGAGGACCCAGGTATAGCCTTGAGTCTAATGGGAGAGGGAGGCACAGGGCATACACACGGTGTGGGGGGGACAGAATAGCCCTGAAGCTGGCCATGGCTCTGAGCACATGTCCTAGGAGTGGGCATAGGTGTCTCCCGAGGACACAAGGACAAACAGAGAGGTCACCTGAACCACAGGAGGCAGGCAGGGAAGGGGGAACACCCGAGCTCTCCATATCAGGGTGAGCGGCCAGCTCTGCGGAGAATGAGGCAAGCAAAGCTGAGCCCCACCCGGAAAACAGGCAGTTCCTTCTGGAAGAAAGTCACCTTAGTTCAGAGAGGGGTGCACAGGCAGGCTGGTGGGGCTGGCACACGGCTGCAGCCTTAACTGAGAGGCTGTGCTGGCTGGAGCCTCCGCCCTCGGACTCACTGGGGACGTGTTTACACACACACCTCTTACCATCAACAGGGATGCAAGCAAAGGAGAGTAGTCTCTAGTGAGATGCTGGAGGTTGAAAAATGATGCCAGCTCTGGGGAGAGGTGCTGCCACCGCTCCTCTGTAAGGAGCCCTGTGAGGTGCTGGGCACAGGCCAGCTGTCTCCTACGGTGTCCCTGCCTCACAGGTAAGCAGGGAAGTCACTGGCAGAGGCTGCCACAGCAGGCAGGTTCCAATATGGGCTTAGCAACCTGGGCCCAGGTCCCTAAGCAGGCATGGTCCTCCTTTTCTCTCCTTACCTCTGTCTTCAGCCAACTCTGTGACCTTCTGAGACAACAGCTCCCAGGTTAGCCTCCGTGCTCACCCCTTGCACTGCCTTCCTGGCTTGCTTTGAAGGCAGAACACTGGGCAAAAAATGGGGGCCCACAGAAGGTGCCATCCCACTGCACAGATGGGAAAACTGAGGTCCAGAGAAGCTGTCCGAGGACAGGGAACCATACCCAACAGCAGAGAGCCTGGCCCACTGCCTCACTGCCTCCTCCCCAGACACTCTGCACTGGGTGCTCTGGACTGCAAGGGAAGGGACGGGGAGCCCTCAAAGGGCTTGGGGAGGTATTCCGGGACCTGGGAGGATCATTAGTCAAACTCAGGCTTTGGCCCTGAGCCTGCTGTGGCCCAAGAAGCCGCTAATGAGGCTCCAGGGCTGGAGATCCGGCGTCAGAATCTCTGGGGACCCCATATCCCCTCCTGAATCACAGCCATTAGAAATGGCAGCTTTTCACCCTCAGCCCCCTGCAGCCTGCTGGGCAACAGGGTGGGAGGAGGCAGTCTAGACACATCCAGCCACGTCACATCTGGCTATGTCACAAGTCAAGGAGGCCCCCAGCCTCTGTGGCTAAAGCCAAGAGATCCGGGGAGCTGCCCCGCAACCAGACCCACCTGAGCTTTAGGAAGGGAGCGGCAATGCATGAACATGGTGTGAGCACGTTAAAGTTCACAAGGTCATAGTGACCCGGAACAGTCACGGCCAGAGGAATGGACTTACTTCTTGAGATGGGAAATTTAAAGGGTGAAACACAGACACTGCCCTGTTCGCACAGCATACCGGAGGGCAACCAAAGAGCAAGGAAGGGAGGGGCGGGGTGTCTTTGTCTGAAGGAAAGAAAACCCAGGTAATAACCGAGGAAGAAAGGACGATATTGAGTCAGCTTTATTTTGAAACCATTGACGCGTTAATGGCTGTCGGTATAAAATCTTAACGCTGGGTTGTGCGGTAGAGGTTGGGGGAGCTGGAGGCGGGAAGACTGAATTCCAGGGACGCCTGAGATAGACCCTGTTTCGAAGAACTAATAAGGACTAGGAATATCTCGCACTAGCGGGGGAGGGCTGAACTAACTGAAGCCTGGGCTGGCTCCCCAGCCCCAAATGAACCAGGTGCGGCATCTCATGCCTGCACTCCCGGCACTTAGAAGGCAGAAGAAGGGAGACCGGAAATTCCCACATGACTGCATACGGGCTTCTAGCAAGAAAGAAAGAAAGAAAAGGGTCAAGAAGACAAGATGTAACTTCTGAATGTAAAAAAATACCCCCAAATTCTGAATCTTGTCAAGCCCCTGGGTCAGATGCAGGATTACAGAAGTGCAGGGGCCAGAGATGGTGTCAAGCATCCTCTGTGAGGATGTAGCCAGCAAAATCCACCCAGTGAGAAACCCACACAACAAATGACCCAGTTTCTTTGATTAATAAATTGCAGGGGAAATGAAAAGAAGAGAGGGCGTCTGGGCCACGGCCATTATGGGGTTGTTGGGATCCCAAAGGCCCTGTGCACATTTGAAACTAGAGTGTTTACTGTGTATTTAACGACTCAAGGAAGCCTTCCCCTAACCGGAAACCTGAACTCCCAATCCTGAAGGTTTCTCAGCACTGACATGATGTTCAGAAGATTTATGACCTTGCAGCCATGGATTTAGAGGTTTCAGATCAGGATACTAAATGAGTAAAGTATATGTAAATACCAAAAAGACCTGAAGTTGGCATATTGGGTTCCGAACATTTTGGATTCCTTTAAAATATTCTGGTTGCATATTAGCATTATAGTAAATATATATGTGTGTGTATGTATGCATATATACACATACATTTTAAAAGTTAATGTGTATGGGTATGTTGCCTGTATACTACTTGCATGCCTGGTGCCTGCAGAGGCCGGGAGGCACAGATGGCTGTGAGCCACAATGTGGGTGCTGGGAGTCGAACTCAGGTCCCTTGGAAGAGCAACAAGCACTCTTGACTGCTGAATCATCTCTCTAGCCCTACAAACGACATCACTTTCAAATGAGTCCTTCTCTTTCAGAACTATGCCCATCAACATTTGCGGAGGAAGTGAGAGGAGTACAGACCAGGCAGGGCTGAGAGAGGCTGTTGTGAAGGGTTGCTTTGTGGCCCCTACATGTCACCGGGGACACCAGAGCCTGACCTGGCGGTGGGAACCCTCAGGAGGGAAGCGGGGGGGGGGGGGGCCCACTCTGCTTCTCACCTCATCCCCCAACATTTCCTCCTCATCCCCACAGGAATCTACTCTGACTGCAAACACCTCACGAGGCCTCACAGCATGTCTCAGGCGCCTGGCCCTGCTTGCACTGGCCCTCCCCTTATCCCCAAGAGGCTAACCCCAGGCAGCTGGGCAGCCCCTCTTGGCTGGCCAGCACTAGTCTCTTGCCCCACCCACTTGGAGGTATCTCCTTGAGGGGGCAAATGTGGCCCCTCCTCAGATCCCTAGCACCCAGCACAGCCAGCACCAAAGCTGGCTGGGAAACGCTAATGCTGGTCAGTGTGAGGCTCCTAAGTCTCCTGCCCCCACTGCCAGGGCGGTTACAAGGCTGACAGATGGCCCTGGGGAATCTTACACTCTAGAGGGCTGTGGTATCTGCAGACACGTCAGTCTGAGAACCTAGAGGCAGGGAGGCAACTTCCCCAGTCACTGAGAACCTTCACTACCACTCTCTCCTCTTCCTTCCCCCTCTCTCCCTCTTCTCTCCCTCTCCCCTTCCTCTCCGCCCTCTCTGTATGTGGTGGTGTTCAGGGGCTCCAGCAGAAGGGCTATGGGATGGAGAGCCCCTCCCAGGCCCCATGGGATTCACACAGTGCAGAAAGGCTTGCCCACAGCGCCATCTGGTGTTGAGTTTCCTGGGAACTTTTCGGACTTCAGGCATCTGGCTGGAATCCCCTTGCTCAGTGTAGAATCCCCTAGTCTACACTAGGCTTGGGGGTCAAGAGCCCAGGAAGGGTAGCATTGGCCAGGACCTGTGTGTAGTATGAGCGAGTGTGAAAGTGAGTGTGAAGAATGGGGGACAGGCAGGAGCTTTCCAGATCCCGCCTTAGATCCCAAAGGTTAGCTTTGGGCATTTCTGAGCAACCCTGATGAAATGGCAGGCAGGGGGCAAGAAGGGTTCTGTGTCACCTGAGCCGGGTGAGGTGTCACACCTAGAACCTAGCAGCTCCCTGCTGTGGTATTCCTCAAGTCCTGGCTTCTGATTTCACAGGCTTCGAATTCTCCAGATTTCACATGCAGTGAATGGAGAGGTCAGGAAGTCACGTACCATCCCTGTGTCCCCAGAACAGTGAGTCCAGAGCTCAGGTGGCCGACATTGCTGGGGCCACAGTGACGCCTGCTCATGGCGCAGGAGAACTCTGGCCTTCCACTCTCTAGGTACAGCATGATGGATCACAAGGCCTGTCCTGGCACCTGCCTGTCCC